ACAATAATTTTAAATAAGGTACTGCAATTACTTTGATTGAGGGCAGTCACGCTGATCTATTCATATACATATATGTTACGAGTAAAATAGAAAGTCAAATATTGTATAAAAATGTTTCAGGCAGGGTCACTATGACCGATTTTCGAGGGAAAATTAAAAACAAGTTAACATTGYCAGGGYATTGTATACGGTGTGTCGGTTCCCAAATATACCTTAAARRGCACTGTAGATTAAATATCGAAAATCAAAAAAAAACATCYCATTGCATATTTTAATTTTTTTTAAATTTCATATAGCTGGTATTATAACAAACATAAAAAACTTGAAAATACATGGATTCCTCAAATATGTATTAGTTACTTGCCTATTTATAGTTCTTAAATATATTATCCGTTGATTCATAATTAGGTACCTTTTATAGTACCGTTCAAAACTGAAGAAACACTTTTATTAGGCACTATATAAAGCCTAAACGTAGTTTTATTAGTTATATTTAGTTATATATATAGTATTATTTACTATTATACCCATTAAATTATAGTTATTTTAGTTAATTATTAATATAATGTTACATAATAATATTAATGCAAGTATAGGTATTTGTTCTTAAATAAGATAAGTATTTTGTAAGTCGTGGTATCAAACAAATAAAGTTTGTACTCGTAGCTGTAGGTTCTATAGTTTCGTATGAATATCATTTGTAGTGTGTGCTGCTCAGTGCGACAGTGCCTGTATTCAATTAACTTTGCCTCTATTCTAGAATCCGAGTACTCTTTGCCCGGGGCTCTCTCATATAATGTCCACCGTCCGGTCAATATAAAAAAAAGTATTGAAATAGTCATTCTTACTTTGCCAAAATGTTCGGGCATTGTAATACGATTCCCGAATTTTATACTTCACTATTAACATTTATTATATATATAGGTACATATAATATTATGARCAGTGGAACGCACACGTTTTCATGAACACCTAAACTTACATGTTACATCRGCCATCACTCAAAAGTAAAATTACACTATACAGCTATCTAATTCACATGATGTACATCATATCACTACTTCTATTATCGATTATCCTCACACTATACTTTATACTTATTCTTAGCGTAGCTCTCACTCTACATAATATGGTCATATAATTAAATAAATTTTAAAAATATTAACGGAAATTTGTAAATATATATCTTATCATACAATTTAATACTTTTCATTTTAAAATAATATAAATACTTAACACCGCGCGTGAGTACWACATTACAATGATACTCAAGACTTACGCAAACAAAAATAAATTCGTAAAAATGTAGATTCTTATAGGTAGGTAATTTGTTTTTGCGTGTTACGACATTTTGTGAGTCAAAATTTAATGCAAATGCGATATTATAAATTATAATTTAAATAGAATATCTGTATTTATAGCATATAGGTATACAATATATGTCTTCAGTGTAGGTATGCAAATTTCGTCGATAAAATTGAAAATTAGAATAAAGTGTATTGAAATAGAGATAACAGTATAAATTATGTATATTATTTAAGTCAAGAATTTGAAACTTTTAATGTGGTTAGTATTCCCCTATTATTGCGATTAATGGATATTATATAGAGTGTATATTGTTGTCAATTGTCACATTATAATAAAATTGTAGGTACATAATTGATAATACTGTATAATCTACTATGGTACCCAAGGAAAAAAATCAGGTCTCTTGGTTAGTTCGATTATTGAACTAAATGTGTAACTAGATCTATCATGCTTTGTAAACTATTGTTGGAACTTACTCGTAAGTTTAAAAAATATTACAAAAATGTACACAGATTTAAATGATTTATAATTTACCAAATGTCAATTTTAATTTGTGAATTATTTTTTAGTTTTATTGTGCACCATGTATGAAAAGAAAAGGGAATATCGAAAATGGTAAGAAATAATTAATAAAATATAAAAGTCTTTGATGAATACCAAAAATATGTATACATGTACAATATATTAATTTTAATATATATTTATACGAATAAATTTTCAATATATTAAATATGTTATTATGTTATTACGTATAAATATTGCTTAAAAGTTTAAGTTGAATCTCAAATAAAAAATTGTTCATTTTTGGTAACGACTATACCTACTTTAAAAGTTTAAAATTTAAATGTACCTATATTAAATGTTTTGTATGTCTATACATTATACATAATATAAAGGTATAAAGCCACAYAGATTTAGAATGATATAACCTTTATTAGCTTATACAATTTTCAACTCGCTAACGTATTTACCAAAATTAAAAAAACTATTCAAATCCACTTTTTATAATGTCCACATACATGTTGTGTTGAAGTGTAGTGCATCGTTATATGTAATATGTATAGGAAGTAGGAACGTCCTGCACTAGGTGCATATGAATATATTATGTGCATAGGAATGCTTGTAAATTCTTTTAAGTTTTCGGTGACTGAGTATATACACCGACTTTGTAACTATATTTTATAGGTAGGTTCACGCACATGTTACGAAATATTTYGGATTACAAAACCGGGTTTGAACCCACCGGACACCGGTTTCCATCTGTTGATCTTGAAACTAAACATATTATATTTTAATTTTGGAGACTATTATATTATTATATACCTGCAGGCTGCAACGTTATAAATTATAATATATTATCCAGCAGACTGCGATGATCATTTTCACTTTATAGATTTTAAGCGGCAAGAGTTCTCGATAAGCCACCATATATACCAAAATAACAGTTTGGTTTATGTACAAGCRTTATATTATACTAATATTAAATAAATTTTGAACTATAGTGTTTCTAATGAAGATAATAGTAATTTTTTTCAGTTAAATGATATAATATCACTATCTTTAATATCCATTATGTACCTATTTTATATATACTATATTAAGTCAATTAAAATGAGTTCTCGAGATTATAATGAGCATATTATAATAATAATTAATAATAAACATAATTTAATATTAATGTAATAATGTAATATACCTCTATACATTATGTATTGGCGTATCGCCTATCGGTATTTATATAATAGGTACTAAACTAAATAATTAGCTATGCAACATTATATCACTATAAAGTCGCTATAGGTAGGTAATAAGTGTCATTTCATGCGTTATCTCACCATATAATTACATTTTTTTAGACTCATATCTATTCTTTTTTATTGATCAAATACGCTTMAAAAATTGTTATTAGCTATAAAACGTATATCTACATATTATGTAGTTTTTTTTTTTTGTTAATTCGTTAATTTGTTTACTATTTCTAAATGAGCTTATATAAATTTGTTTGATTTAAAAATTATATTATTTTACTTTTAATTGTGGCCCTCTATATGATTTCGTATAGTTGGTCGAGAATATAGTTCTAATTTCTTCGTATTTCATATTATTGGTGACATTCGGTTACCGATATGTTTTTTTAGTAGGTACCTACTTATACGAAAAACGATTCTAAACGAAGATGGTGAATAAACTATAAAGATTAATTTATTTAGTAAAGCTGTAACCTAAYCGTAGATCGGTGTTTATAGGTTCTTGGTAAATGAAAAGTAATATTTTGAAAACTACCTACGTCAGTGTTAACAAAAAAAAAAGTTTTAAGTAAATGTAGCATTGTTCAAATGTTCATAGTTCACATTATTATTAGAATAATAATAAAAATTGTTTGAAGATAAATCGTTATGTCTTATATACTTTGAATATCTTACAATAAGTAATAACTTAAAAATTATAGCCATCAAATGCTTATGAATTATGATAAATAAATAGAACTACGCTAAACCTATTTTTTAATTAAAGTATCTAAGAACAAAGTATTAGGAACCATGAAAAATATTTTCAATCTTTTTGTCAATAGACAATATCTATAGGAAAAAAAGGTAGGTACCTATAAAGAAACTGAAAATTTCAAATGCCTATAAATATTTTTAGGTATTTATTTCTAAGAGTTATTCGTTTTTATTTACGATCAAATAACAAAATCGATTTAATGAAAATATTGTTGTTTGGTAAATATTTCAGTTTTCTATAATTTCTTTTTAATCTTYAATTTGTAATTTTATACCTTTGACTATAATTACACGAGATCCAATTAGTTAGGTAGCAAAAAGCCAAAAAAAAAAATCAAAGTGATGATTATTGAAGCATTTTTTTACTAGGTATGTAAAAAAAGTACACATAATTTGTTWAACCAACACTATTAAGGGTTAAGAGGCCATTATTATAGCCAAAAAAGTTGATTACATTTTTATACCATATTGTCTTCATGCAAATGTTTATGAGTAGCCTGAGTATAGGTATATGTTATTAGTATTGAGACAGTAAAAACAACATATCTAAATATCTTGTGATTTATTTTTATTTAATAGTTAAGAAAAACATACAATTTATTGTTATTTATTGATATCAATTATTTCATTGAAAAAATAATTATTACAAATTAGAATGTTATACCTAAGTGTATAGCTATATAGGTAGACAATACTCATTGRTGTATAACGTAATGAATTTTTGTGGGGAGACTTTAGCCTAAAATTTTTCGGATATCTATATTCTATATAACATGTATTCTAAAAATGGTAACTAAAAAATGTATGCAGAGGCTAAACGAATTTCCAGAGGAGCTATAACCCCCTCAGTCTCACTCCAATTCAATACCTATGACGATACTACAAACATAGGCGTACAATCTGCCTTCTGCAGTAATATATTTTGTTTCTAAAACCTGTTAAGTAAATAAATGTGAACCTCTCAGAACTTTTTACCAAGACATAATCTAGATAAAATAATCGTCATGAATCATCATGATTAATATTCTATTAGGGTCATCGATTCACGTATATAGGGGACAGTGTGCACGAGATCAGATCGACRACCGCTAGATAGAGCGATCGGGACCGACGACGGTCCGAACTACAGATCATTTTCAAAACATAATTTACAATAATTTATAATAGATAATATTAATATTTTCGCAGTAATAATAATGACAGATTGTAATAGCAAGTAAGTCGCGGTCCGGACGAAAGAGGAAGGGCCGTCTCACTATTGTCCGTTCATTTCCTGTAGCTCTGCTCGTCGCGGTTGGTCGATCGTCGTCGCGACCTTGGCTCCTATCACCACCCCACCATCCCCGCCGCCGATGGTACAACAACAACAACAACAATAATAATAATAATTAATAAGTAATAAACTAATAGCATTGCTGCAGTCTGCAGCAGCCGCGCCGTGTGTACCGTACTACCGTGTACTGATGTGCCAWTACTGATTGTACGCCGTTTGTCTAATTCCGTCGTGACGTTCGCGAATTGCTTAGTATTAATTGTCGTCATTGTTATTGGTTTAACGAAACGGTTGTCGTAGCATATTTAATTGCATAAAACCACAATATTCCCAACTCATCTCGAAGAACCTGGACCCGAACGTTAAGGACGTTATCGTATCCGAAACAGTTTCGAGCGAACACAACAATAATAACAACATGGGAATCGGCTGCGGCGAACGTGCCGGCATCGACGACAAATCGGCCGCCTAGTCGGCGGACGAGTGCTGTGCGGCGTGATAACCCGGCCATTGGTAATATTATTATTAATAATAATAATATGCCTGTAATAGGTATTATAATTAGCCGGTTTAATCACAGATTAAGACAATCATCAATCATCGGCCGAACGCGAAGTGCGAATGAGTAGGTCGTAGGTGCAAGACAAAAACTGACTAGGTAGTAATAATATCAATAACTATTCCAATTAATATCTACTTATGCTTATTTATGTAAATACAGCGTATTGTCGTATTGAGTAGTAAACATGGCGGTTAGAAAAGATACCTACAGAAATGTTGAGCGAGATAATTATCTATATAAATATAGTGTGCGAGAGAGAGAAGAGATGGCATGTGTGAGAGTCTATTTGAGACGATTATAAATCATTTATTTGCGTTTTAGATTAATGTTGCTGCTCTCCTCATGTTATTATTATTGGGTACTTTTTTTTCAGGTGAAGTGAGCTGATAACAATAAAAAACAACTCGACAACCTATTCTCTGTTGTTGAGATTGCTGTGCGGTGTCAGAAGCATTCATAGCAGTCTTGGACTTCCACCTCCCCGTACAACACGGACCTAGACGTGGATTTTCTTTTATTTGAAAATCATCCATCTCAAAGTAGTATTCTTGCGCTATGAKTACGTATCACATGAATACCGCTCCCGTTGTATACGACGTCCAWAATTCTACGGTGTTTGGTCACGGATTGTTTGGCGATTGTTACTCAAATATCATAGGAACCGCTGCAACAATGTTCCTGTCCACCCAGTATCAACCGGTCCTTATGTCTGTAATTGGGTCCATTGTCGTGGGCCTAAGCGGACTTTTCCCCTTACTCATATTGCCAGTCAATGATTCAATTTCTTTAAAAACTGGATGTAAGTATCGTATTCAATGATTCAAACTTATTTTCAATGAATTCATACAATCATACTGAAACTCGAGGTGAAATGATTACTGTTATTAAATCATAACTATCTAGAATTCTAATCAAACTGAATACTTTTGGTGTTAATCAATGTTTTCATTCTAAGCTATTCACTTGATAGTGATTGTTTAGTTGTTCTAACATTTACATAATATATTAACTATTATCTTAAAAGTAATAATAAGATAAAGGTGCTTTTAGTTTACCAATTTAGTTTTGTTATAAATGTTTGAATA